CGTCGGAAGCGCGGGGTCTGCAACCGAAACCTGGCGAGTGGGGGTGAATTCCAGAGAGCCGTGCTTGGCACGGCTGGCATCCTCGTAGCAGCAGCAATCACCTACGGCAAGCGCGTCCACAAATGTCTCATCTTTGGAGCCTTTCAAAGCTTTTATCTGGCTTTTGAACCGCCGTTACATTCTCCTGGAGAAAACTGAAGAGGATCAATGGAGCCTGTTGGTGGGGAAGGTTGGGGTCCTTCCCCACGACGTGAGCGGGTGGCTGTCTCCAAACAAAGCGCGCGGAGCAGCAGCGGTGGCACAACTGGGCTCCTCTGCCAGAGGAGAGCTGCCTGGCACTCGAGTGCCCCAAAACCACCTTTCTCACACCCTCTTTTTCCTGAGAGTTTACCAGCAGCTGCCTCCACAGCCACGGGAATCCATGACAAAAGCAAGCTGGAAAGTAGAGATCCGCCACAGCAGCACCTCGTGCAGTTGAAACCTGGGCCGAGTCTTTAAATGTGGTGCTTAGTATCGAGGAATTTGTAGAGCCCATAAATTTATTTTATTTAGCTGAAGGAAAACAGTTCATAGCCGGATTTTAACTGCAATGATAGTGCAATGAAGAAAAAGAAATTAATTCCGGAGTCTTTGAGCGATCGTTTGATACCTGGTGTGGATCCTGAACTACCCAAGTCAAGCCCTGCGCTTGCTGCTCGCCGCTTTCCGTGTCTCCTGCGTGCAGCGAGTCGCTGCGCTCACCCAGCACCAGGTACGGGCCCACCTTTGCTGCATCCGCTGGGTTCGCGCCGCTGCAGAGCGGTGCCCGCTGTGCCGGGAGCAGGAGGTGATACCACCACCCGCAGCCCAGTCCTTTGTGGGGACAGATCCAGGGCAGCCTTTGGCAGCCCCCAGGACCACACACACTCCCGTCACAGAGCATCAGGACACACATCTCCAACAGAGATTTTTAACCTCATCATCTTTACCCTAAACCTGCTGGCACCAACTTGGCTGGGAGTTTCACTGGAGAGCAGGATCAGACCGTGAGGCTGTGCACCAGAAGACCTGCAGCTGTGCCCAGATGTTCAACCCCCAGACCCAAGGACCCTGGTGTGTCCTGGAGGTGCTTCCAGGGAAAATCTGCCCAACGCTATTCACCCCTGGAAGTAGGTGCGAAATGGTAAGTCAGCCTCACCCTCTCCTTCTCCTTCTCTGCAGAGTACCTCAAGGAGAAGCTGGACAAATACATGTCGCGATTCCCAAAAGTGAAGATCCTCCATCTCAAGGAGAGGCACGGTCTGATACGGGCCAGGCTGGCGGGAGCGGAGATGGCCAAAGGTAGGAGGAAAGCCCTTTTCCAGCCCTGTCTGGACCCCCCAGAGGTGCCAATAAGCCACCTCCAGCGCTGAGTTTTGGTCCCCTCCCAATGAACTAAGGGCATCTTTCTGGTGTGCAAAGCACGAGTCTGACAAGGGATGAGCTGTGGCTTGCCCGGCACCTCGGCACAGCCCTGGCAAGTGGCCGTTGGGATCTCCAGCCGTGCCGCCCTGGCTCCACGGCCAGCACCAGCCAGGCTGCATCAGCACCAAAATGGCCATTTCTGCTGGGAGTTGCCCAGCTGCACTCTGCGGGCCACGATAGCTGAGCCTGATGCTCTGGGCTACGGCTGGGAGGGTTTGGGGAGCTGTGGAGGGTGGTGGCACCATCAGCAGCATCCAGAGCCACGGGGACGCTGGTCGGCAGGGGGTGGGGATGGGCACCTGAGGTCTGACGCTGCCCCGGCCTCTGCTGCAGGCGCCGTCCTGACGTTCCTGGACTCGCACGGGGAGTGCAACGTGGGGTGGCTGGAGCCACTGCTGGAGAGGGTCCGTCTGAGCCGGGCCAAGGTCGCCTGCCCCGTCATCGAGGTCATCAGCGACAAGGACATGAGGTACGGCGGCTCGCGCCCCCGGGAAACCCAGCATCCATGCCAGCGGCTTGAGCAAAACCTCTTGCTGGGACCACCAGCATGTTAATTACAGGAAGACACAGGTCCAGACCTCCTAACTGGCCTTCAGCAGCGTTTCACAAAGGATACGTAACGTTGCTGTGCACCAGAAATTAACGTTAGCAGTGGATGTGGCTCCTTCATTTATTGCACACGCTTTTTCCCTTTTTCGTGATTTCAGTGCATGAAGAGGATTCCTGATGAAAGTTGTTAAAATCCTGTTTTAATTATGTACAGATATTCATCTTCGCTCATTAAGGGTGACATTTCAATCAGGAATGTGACTCAGAATTAGTCATCCAGATCCTTTCTCCATTTAGTTACATGACCGTGGACAACTTTCAGCGTGGGATTTTTACTTGGCCGATGAATTTTGGCTGGAGGCAGATTCCACAAGAGGTCATCGAGAAAAATAAAATCAAGGAAACTGATATAATAAGGTAAAAAAAAGCAAGTGTGAGATCTTTGTCAACCAAACTGTTCCTTTGCTAATAATTTAGCAACAAAGGCTCCTTGGAAGGAGGACAAAGGCACTGTGGGCAATCACACCATGAGACATGGGCAAAGCCCGGCAAGCCTTTCTCACCTGTCGCGGCACTGCTGGCATTTTACCAGTGCTGCCAGGACCGGGGGGACGTACCATTGCATGTTTCCCTTCCATGCCCCAGTGCAGCTTTTGGGCTGGGTAAAACCACCCCAATGCCATCTGTTTTAGTGATGCATCTGTCAGCCTGCAGCGAAGTGACAAATCGGGCGGCCCGCGCTGTCTCTGTAAGTGCAGGCTCAGGCACCATCCCCGGGCATTCAGTAGCCCACAGCTTCTCGACGATTCCCTCGCCAAAGCAAGGGGAAAGGGATGGGCACTTCCCGACCAGCTGACATGTCGTGCGGCTTCTCTGTTCCCAGGTGCCCAGTCATGGCGGGTGGCCTGTTTTCCATCGATAAGAAGTATTTTTTTGAGCTAGGAACGTACGACCCAGGACTGGATGTTTGGGGAGGTGAAAATATGGAGATATCATTCAAGGTACGTTGCTCTCGGCAGCGTGTCCTGCACGCCTGCATCCCCGCAGCCTGGATCGGGTGCTTGAGGCCCCGTCACTCCTGGCAATTTACTGCTTCTCTCTGGCTTCCACAAAGCTGGAGCCTGACATTTGCCCGTGTTTCTATCAAAGCAACCTCTGTTTCTCAGGTCTGGATGTGCGGAGGAGAGATTGAGATTGTTCCATGCTCCAGAGTGGGGCACATTTTCAGGAACGACAATCCTTATTCCTTCCCGAGAGATCGGGTGAGAACAGTGGAGAGGAACCTGGCCCGCGTTGCGGAGGTCTGGCTGGACGAGTACAAGGAGTTATTCTACGGCCACGCTTACCACTTAGTCTTGAAAAAGCTGGATGTCGGTGACCTGACCCAACAAATCCAACTGCGAAAGAAGCTTCAGTGCAAAAGTTTCCGGTGGTACCTGGAGAACGTCTACCCGGACCTGGAAGCTCCCCTGGTTAAAGCCAGCGGGCTGGTACGTACCCAGATGACTTGCTGTCCTTTGGTTAAACGTCTTTCCAGTGACTGGCTTAGGGATTTGGTCATATCCCAGTGCGCTGTCTCCAAGTTGCTTCCCTGGCATTTGGTAACGTTTTTGGATATTTAATGTGACGCGGCGGTCTGGAGTCCCAGTGGTTTTTATAAAGAAATTGACCACAATTCCAAGAGGCAGTTTCTCATCAAGGAGCCGGTTCAGTGTTGAACATGAGGTGAGATGCCCATGTGTCGGTCATGGCCCGGGGTATGCCCCATTGCCGGAGGTCCGGTGTCACCCCCGGCATGGCTCTGGCCACGGCAGGAGAGAGAAGTCCCTTCCTGAGCCAAGGAGCGGGGGCAGGACGGGCAGGGCAGGCAGCCGGGCACAGGCAGGGCAGGCAGCCCGGCACAGGCAGGGCAGGACGGGCAGGGTTGGACGGGCAGCCCGGGTAGGACGGGCAGGGTTGGACGGGCAGCCCGGGCAGGACGGGCA